CAGAAGCAGGGCTAGACGGGGGGAGGGGAGCGGAGCGAATCAGCCAGCAGGAAGCGGGACTGACCCGGGCAACTGCAGACCTGGGCACACGAGTGAGTCCAGCCCCGGGAATTCCATTTTGTCGCCCCCCCATACCCTCTCTCGAGTAGTTGTGAACTGCCTGGCTGGTAGACACACTCACGCAGCATGAGGACATCTACCAGCCAGGCAGTTTGCAGCTACAGACTGATACACCTAAAAAAACGAAAGTAAAAAATTCGGGAAACCCTGGTCTAGCCAGCTTTCTATCCATCTTACAGCCCATTTGTCCAATCCATATTCCCTTAGTTTGCTGGCAAGAATATTGTGGGTGACCATATCAAAAGCTTTGCTAAAGCTGGCACTGGAGGCTTTGGGAGGACCAGAAACAGCTTTTGAATATTCATTTGCTTAATGAATATGCAAATGAATGTTACAAGTCCTCCAAAAGCTCATGAATGGATTTTCTGGTCCCCATGTCAAAAAGTTTGGGAACCTCTGATCTAGAGGAAACAGAAGAACCTAGAAACCCATGTACTTGCATCAGAGCGCAAAACTGTCAAATTGGACATGAATGACCCTTTAACACAGGATAGCTTAATTTATGAAGTATAGGGCAAGTAAGATTCTCTTGTTCAGTGGTTCCCAAACTTTTCAGCATCACGCCCCCTTTTTGATTTGAGAGACCCTCACGCCCCACTCCAACATAGCAGCAAAACTTGTGGGGGAAAAACTGACTAGGGCAACAAACCTTGATGGGGGTGCTGGGTTGTCTCATGCCCCTCCCCCCAAGAATTTCTTCATGCCCCAAGGGGGCATGCTTCCCAGTTTGGGAACCCATGCTCTAATCTGAGAGAAAGCCATATATGCCGTTGTGTGTGACATTTAGTCACAAGAACAGGGCCTACTAAGTTAAGATTTTTCCAGATATATAGGGGCAATAGTTGAGGATACTGCAAGACAATTTGTTTTGGAACAGGGTAATCTTAGCAAACTCAATGCCCACATGATTTTATCATTCAGCCCCACTAAAAGATTAAGACTATCCCCCATGCATATTTTCCTCTGAATAAAGGAAGTCTGTTCCAAGATGTTTTACTCATCAGATCAGTCTACAATAGCTTGTTTAGTTACATATGGCTATACGGTTATTCTAGAATGGCACCTATACACCACAAGTTTCTACATGCCAGCTGTACAATCACTGCTAAGCACCCTACTGGAAAACATACTACAGCCATGAGTGTGGCATGAAAATTCATCACAACAGGCACTTTCCCACACCATGTTAAACTCGTAGACAAATTAGCTGTTCAAATGAATAAAAAGGTAAAGACCAATCAGAATGGGTAACAAGATAGCATTACCCTTACTTATATTACTGCGATAAATCAAGGATCCATTGGTATAACTGGACCATAGGGACAGTTTACAATTCTACAAAGAATGAGGCACCCAAGGAATTAGATATTGAGCTAGACGTTGTGACCACATGAGTAATCAGTAATAGGCAAGCAGCAGTTTTTCATGTTAATAAATCCAAATCAATAAAATTACCACCAATGCTCATTTAGTTACCTTTTGAAATAGTTAGTGCTGGAGACCACTGTGACCGTAGAATGTCAAGACAAATGCTGCCATTACTGTTAATATTTGGATGATAGATTCTTGTTGTAAATGCAACCTGAAGAAGAGGGGAAAATTTCAGATGAGATTCACTAATGTAAGTTATACAATTACACGAAGAAGATTTATACAACCTACTCACCTTAGGTGGTTTGAAGGGGTAATCTGTTGGGAAGTGAATTGTCAAGAAAAATACTCCACCCTGATAGGGACTGTCATTCTGTTAAAACAAAGAAACATTATTAGAAGAGAATCAACTTCAAGGGTTCTTTACATTGAGATGTGAAGTACATATACTTACTGGTCCCATTATTGTAGCTTGCCAATGGAACACTGAAAAGAGGAAAACATGAATTACTGTGTTATTTCTAATATGAAGAGTCCAAGTAGTCACCACCACAGTACTGGTCAGTAAGCCGCATGTGTACATTGGTTAATGTAAATAGATTTTTGGGTAGAATTCAGTGAGCCAGGGAACTCCTACATGAAGGCCCAAGACTCCACTTACATAAGCTGAAATACTTTAAGCTATCAGCTACACAATCCCTGGAGTTTAAAATCAAACCATTCACATACTATCTATCCACACATTCTGCTCCAGTACAAGTCTATACTGCCACACGGCTGATTAGGGAAGATCTAGGGATGTTAAATATCAGTTAATTGAACAGTCGATTAACCTCATGAATTCTTATTGGTTACTCGACTATTTTATAGTCCCCAGGGGTGGGGCTGACAGCCAGTGCACTCCGGTCCCACTCCTGAGGAGCCCCTGCCACTCTATGCTGCTGACTAACAAAGCAGCAGCAATGCAGGGCAGGGCAGGGCAGCAGTCCTGTCTGCAGGGGGCCCAAGCTCCCTAGAGACAGAGGCTGCACTGGCATCCCACCCCTGCCCCCCCCCAGCTGCTCGATACAAATACCGCTAAAAAGAAAGCAGATCTCTACCTTCTGGGGCTCACGATACATTTGTAAACCTTGATGGCCTGTCAATGCAGAGATTGTCCCCTGCAGAGACTCCCCAGATCTGAAGCCTTCCCTCCTGTGCACAGAGCCATCAGGATGCTCAGAGCTATTCTTCCACACGCTCTGGCCAGGTTGAACAGCTATGGACTTCAGACAGATGCAACTAGAGTAGCAGCCTGAGTTACCCCAAAAACAGTTTCTCCCCCATGGCCTGGAGACACAAATGGTATTGGGCAGGAGCAAATTGGAGACCTGGATATAAAATGGGGAGATTGAGGCAGTGTGGAAGTTATGGAGTTATGGATTTGGGGAAAGAACTGGTGCAACAATAGTTTTCCCCACAACAGCTCCCACATAAGGCCCATGGGGGCAGAGGATAAGGGGTAATGACAGAAGGAATCATCCAACTAGGAGGGAAACCACCAGAGGAGCCTAAGACTGGGTAGGCAGGAAATATGGAAGATGGCCTGGGTTGCAGTACAGAGGTTACACTGGGATCCAGTACTTCCCACTAGGATATCAACTGCCCCCTCATTGCTCGTTCCAGGTGGAGTAACACCTACTTCAGATTTTCACTTTACAAGTATTTCCTGAGGGTGCAGACTCCTGGGAGTTAGCTCTCCTCTCTAAAATGAGAGGAGGCCTCCACTCCCGTATTGCCTCCCAATGTGTGTGCTTGATGCCTTACAACTCCGGCAGTACTTACTGTCATCTCCAACAGCCAGGTCATTCAACTCCTAAGGGCAAGAAAGGGTGGACAGTTGATGTTTTGCCTGATCCAAAAATCAAACAACATTCTGCTACTCAAAACTGATAATGGTACTTGAATAGCACTTGTCCCTCAATGGTATATTCTTAAGTGAAACAGAATTTTACATGGTGAAAAATGGTCAAACTTCCTAACCAAGGGGGGGAGGGGTGGTGTGTGTGTGTAAGTGTGTAAAACGAAAACCTGCACTTATGCCATCCATCTTTTGTCCCCAGTGAGCAGTGCTGAACTAGCTTCCCTTTCAGCCAACAAACTCAGAAGACCCTATGTTCCATCTTACACTTCAGTTACCTCCAACTTTTCATAAGGCAGTTGTCACAAACACAGCCCAATACCATACATTTTTCAGCGTTGCAGGAAATAATGAACAGTTTTCCACAGGACAATATCAGTGCGCAAACGAGCAGGTATGCAGCAGACATTGCATCTCTGGCTGGGGAGTTTAAACGGCGCTTTCAGGACTTTGCAGCTATTGAAAAGGAGATCAGCCTTTTCTCCTCTCCATTCTCTGTTGACCCCGATGATGCTCCAGATCAGCTGCAGCTCGAGCTCATTGAGCTGCATTGTGACAGCGAGTTACGCAGTCGTCACCAACAGCTCTCTCTTGTGAACTTTTACCGCCAACTGGATAAGAGCCGGTTTCAAGAGATTCGAACATTGGCTAAGAAAATGCTGAGCTTGTTTGGCTCAACATATATGTGTGAGAAGACATTCTCTGCTATGAACTTTAACAAGAACCGCGTGAGGACAAGACTAAGTGACTCTCACCTGCGTGACATTTTGCGCATCAAAACCATTGCCTTTGAACCAGACCTAGCCTATGTGCTGCAGTCCAGATCTCAGTTTCACCCTTCACATTAGTGTAGGCAAGTTTTTTTTTTCAATTGAGATGAATACATTGTAAAATCTCAGTTAATGTCAGTTGGTCTAAATCAGTTATAAATATATTTGGACACAACGGCTACGTCTACACTGGCCCCTTTTCCGGAAGGGGCATGTAAATTTCACCTATCGTAGTAGGGAAATCCGCGGGGGATATTTAAAGTAGGAATAAGAGCCTCCGGAAAAGGGCACTTTTTCCGGAGGATCGGGGCCAGTGTAGACGCTCTTTTCCGGCTTTTTTAAAAGCCGGAAAAAAGCAGCGGACATTTTTATTTAAATGCCGCGGGGGATATTTAAATCCCCCGCGGATTTCCCTACTACGATAGGTGAAATTTACATGCCCCTTCCGGAAAAGGGGCCAGTGTAGACGAGCCCAACATGTATAGTTGGTGTTATGTCGTTTGCCGTTTGCAATAAACTTTGCATAAACTAGTTAATTTGCGTTTAATTTTAATGGTTCAAAGAATGTCAGGCAAAATGGTCGGCCCTCACGCATGTTCACTTCATCAAATCTGGCCCTCTTTGAAAAAAGTTTGGACACCCCTGCTTTAGACTGTTCTCTACCATATTAATTAGGAACAGGATATCACAATGTAGGCACTAATGAGATCTGAAGAGTCTTATCTTGCTTCAAGTTATTTCTGTTTACATAATTACAATCGAAGCAGAAATAACTACCACCACCTTGATAAGTTACTTGTTTTTAACATTAAATCCCACCTTTTTATGCCTGGGTTCAGGGGCGGCCCTAGACTAGCTACCAGCAACTGGCGCCCTAGGCGAACCATGCAATCGGCACTCCCCCCACCAGCAGATATCGACTGAGGGTTTTGGTTCTGTGCTGGGGAGAGGGGGGCTGGGGGTGGAGATCTGTGGCTGGGGGCCGAGAGGGTTGGGGGCTGAGTTGGAGTTCTGGGGCTGGGGGCCCAGGGGGTTGGGGGCAGGGGCCCAGGGATGGAGTTCTGGGGCCGGGGGCCGGGGATGGAGTTCTGGCCCTCCCCTGGGGCTGCACCCTCCCCCCCACCCCACA